TGTAATTTCAAAATCACGCAACCCTGCACTACCGTAACCAAAGGTGCTTCCACATCAATAAAGTCGAATGGTTTAAACTAAAACTCCCCGGCGGCCAATCGCAAATTATAATAGCATTATGTATTATTGAAATTATATTGTAAAAATTGAATGCACGTGTAAGTACCTTAAATGTAAATTCCCGTTCTTATAACAGAGTATTTTTTTGTTTAAAAATGTTGCTAACGGCTTAAGTACAATACGTACGTAGGTGTGTAATGACCCTATATTTTAATACATAAATTATCGCTTTATAATAAAGAAAAAAATATAAAATCTGTCGACAACTCATTAGCAATTATAATTTAATGCAAACAAGACTCGGCACCTACAATTATCAAAATGGTATTCATTCTGTGGGCATTAATTACGTGTGAATTGCATTCATCCATAAATTTTTAAAATAACTATTAATATTGTATTATTATTCATATTAAAAAAACTTTTGTAATTTAAAGTTGTGCACATATACATAAACATGCATTTACAGTAACGACTAACAGAGAATAGTAAAATTTCCTTGTTTAAATTCACTGTGATCGCCTGTGAGGGAATTCGTTAATAAAATTACGCTATCGTTTTGCTCCAAATTATAAAACAAGTTTATACCGTCATTCCTTTTTATATACACATATATATATATTATATATTATGTAGCTCCTTAACGTCCTGAGACGAATGCTTACGAGTGGGATGTCCGAATAGTATTTAAGCTTCTACACCGCACAAAAAATTAAAGTATTGTTCAAAATGAGGCCTTAAATTAAATAAGGAAAAGAGTTTATATCTCCCTTAATTTATGGTAAACTGAAAACCTTTCTAACTGTTTTATTGTTTTATTTGTTTACTTTTGCAAAAAATTCTGTCCAAAGATAGCGATGGAGTCGAGATATTAAAGAATCCGTCTTTATCGTACTATCTGGGTTAACGAGTATTTTTTGATAAGAAGTGCTTCAGCAAAAAACGTACCCAAAAAGTAAGTGGCGCTGGAATCAAGATATTTAGATACCGCTCTACAAATTTACTTATGAGATGACTTAATAAAGCCCCATCCTTTAAGTATGAATACAAAGAAGCGAAAAATTTGTAAGGCGCCACAGATGTCCTAGACACACCAGCGGGCCATGGGTGTATCAAGAAGAAGTGGGACGAATTGAAAAAACATGATAGGAACATAAATTACCCCGTTTGAGCGGGAACACTCTTTCTTCCTGTGGAACAGCAGGATTTAACCATTCAACCGAAGCCAATAGTGTTTACATTACAAACCCTTTTTGCATTTCAAACCTATTTTTGTATTGGTCAACGCAAAAGTTCTTATCAGGCGTAGAGAAGCAAGCCATGCATTTGCTAGTATTAAATATGATATGCTCTACGGAAAATTTTTTAAATAAAATTATTTTTTATCGCTGCAATTATTTTATATCAATGCAAAAGCATGCCATTGGCCCCAGGTTGTGTCGACGGTTTCCNAGAAAGGCCGAGTTTCCAATCCGCGCTAAACTTTTTGGGTTTCTCTGTATCTTGATATATCTTGGGTGGTCGAAAAGGCCGAGTTTCCGATCCGCCCAGTCGCGCTGTCGTGGCAGTTGGAAAGGCCTAGTTTCAAATCCGTTCATTTATTGATTATCTGGTGGAAAGCACTGGATAAAAGCAGCGTTCAGAGAGTAATTTGAAGAGTACAGAGACTCGCAAGCCTCGGTTTATCAGGCGTCGCGAGAAGCGCACCACAAGAAGGGCCGAACATGATCTTTTACCTGAAGCCGCCACAAGTATCTGTAACAGGTTCAGCCGCAAAAGTGGCCCTTAGACTGAGGGAATCAAAATTGTGGAAGCAGACCAACTACGGGCACGTACTCTTGAAGGTAATAAATAGTGGACTTAGATGTCGAAAGTGATTACCTCACACCATCCTGGGATTTAAAAATTTTTATTTTTTATTAATAAGGCAATAAAAATATGTGATTTACAGTAACTTTCAACAAAGGAAATACGAAATAAGGTGATTTTTGCGGAAGTGGGTATTAGTGAATTTCAGTGCATTTAAAGTTTCTGAGGTTTCGTTTACCTTTAGATCAGAATTGTCAAAACTTAGAAATTCAAAGTAGCGATATAATAATCATAGAAAAGAAGATGGCGACCTGCTGTGATGATGAGTAAATTTACCACAATGAGGAAGAATATAACAATTAAGTGAAAAAATTTAATTTTTACAAATTTAGTGAGCAGTAACGCGTTTCAAGAACGATATTTCAGACAAATCGTTAATGAACAACTATTTTTCCTTCCCGTCTGCTTTGGTTTTGGCAAAAAAGTTGATAAGCTCCTGACGGCGATCAAGTCATTNCTGTTTCGACATTTCGGCATTTCTTTCATTTTGACGTCATTCGCATTGTCAGATTTTTGAAATTCGTTTTGGTTCGACATTCTGCTATTTCATAATTCTTTCATTCTCATGTCATCCATCTTCCATTTATTACCTTCCATTGCCGTTCGCATCGTCGAACGTGCCTGTCAAACATGCCGCCATCATGCTTTTCAGTTTGGCAGGCACGTCCGCTGTTAGAAAGAGAATAGACAAAAAGGGGCATAGGATTCCATACTTGTAAGTATATACGATGGTATCAGTAGAACGGCTGATTTGATTTTTTTCAAATTATTTGGCCTCGAAAATGTCAAATATATGTTTAATTTATTCTCACAAAAATTTTAAATTGTTTAAATCTATCTGCATGTGAAACCTTTTACCATACAAAACAAGCGATTGAATAGCATCTTTTGGAACCTTCGCCCAACTCAGGAGCACAACCGCTGATTACTGGGCCTTGGATCAATGCTTCGAGAAGCTAACAAATTTACCAAGAAAGAAAGTTGCATCAAATTTTATTTTTTTTCCAAATTTCAAATTTTTATTTTCTATTTTTTTTTGTACTTCACATGGCACGCTTTGATTTAAAAGAAAAAAAATCAGAACAGTTTTTGACACTTTCGATACCAGAAGCAACAATAAAATACAAATGTTGTTTTTGCTCTATTGCTACTAAGGACAAGGTAATTTTTAATTCAAAATGACCTTTTAAATTACCTTCCTAAGTTAAATTTTACGTGTACATATCGTTGCCTGGATAAAAGATTGTCGTATGTTACTTTCGGAGAGGTTTGGGGAATCGCGATGGAAGTTGGAATGCAATTTCTCAAAAACCGAAGATAGATTTTCTCCAAAGCCTCCGAGAATGTTACTAGTTCATAAAATTCTTAAATTATTTCATTTTTATTGTATACTAAGTAGCTGATATTTGCGTCGTCAGTAGCTTAATACTTTTGCATAAACCTTGCAGATTTTTAAAGTTAAAAGGACAGCTTTGATTTAAAAACAATGTCCGGCGGTCAGAGTTAAGATGAAGTAGCCTCTAAATTTATTAGACGTGTTTTTACATAATTTTCTATGGGATGTCTCTGGAAAATAGCTGAAACTTATGCTATTGTCTATATTTCCAAACCATTTAAGGCCTGAGTAGCTAGTGGATGATAGGTAGCAAGATTAATGCAAATAAGGTCAATTAACACTATTTCGCATACTGGTGCGAAATAAAGTCAATTAACATTGTTTCCTTTCCAAAAGAAAAATAAAGTAAACAAGAATTTGGCGCAAGCAAGGCGCGCGGCCGCCGCGAAGCTACGCAAATTTAACGTTTGAAAGAGGAATAATGTCAATGGATTTTATTTCGCTTTTGAAAAAGTAATAATGTCAAATGACTTTGTTACGCACCAGTATGCGAAATAGTGTCAATTGACCTTATTTCTGTTCATCTTGGTCTGCTCGCATACAATTTTGCTTTGCTAATGTCAAAATCCTTGAATTCCTTTTCAAAAAGCCGATATGCTTAGTTTACTGTCAAAAGCATGTAGCGCTTTGGTATATTTCGCAATTCTTGCTTACTTAACATTGTTTCTTTTCTCTCTGCTGCTATAAAATTTTTATTAATTTAGGGTCCTAGTTTTCGCCTGCTCTTTTTCACTGTCACATTTGTCTAATAATTTTTTCCTAATGCTTTTTCAACTTTTTTTATGGCTTTATTGCGGTGATGGGCACCGCCTTGCCCGCGGGCAAAGCTCTTTTAAGCTTTCTATACATTTTGTATAGGACGTGCAGAGTAAAAGCTCTCTCTGCTTCATTGACTACTTTTATAATTGCCAAAATTTGAAGAAACTTATCCCTGTTTTTCGTTTTCAACGAATCTTTTTAGCGCAAGCTAGTCGCATCTTGGTGATTTTTTGCCATGATATGATAATTTTTAATTTTGCTTCTATATTTTTTTTTCTTTCGATCTCTCTTTTTTTATATTCTGCCTACTTTTCTTCCTCTTTCTTCAAATTCCCTAATTTTATTCGGTTCTATCAGAAATATTATTGTCTATTTTTAGAGATTTTTAAAGGTCTTTTAGAGGTCGATTTAGGCCAGAAAATACGATTTTGTAGACTTATGAGTTTTTGAATGGCCATATTTGATTCCATTTCATAGATCGAATATGATCTGAGAAGAGGATATATAGGCCTTTAAAATGGTATATAATAATATATTGTCGGACTTGGTTTGCTGGGATTTTTTATCGGGTAGAATAAAAAAAAAAACATATTTCTCTTAATTTTAAATTTTGGCCATCGATAATTTCACTAAACTATCTAAACTTAAATCTATTTTTAGATAATCTGATAGCTCATTTATTGCAATCGTCTAAAAATTGTCGAATTTAGGCGACTTTACTTAAACACTGCCCTGAATTTATATTGTTTATGTACCGGATTTATTTTTTTTTAATTTTTCACATAACATATCTCTAGAAGTATTCATCGTAGAGTGCTGCAACTTAGTATAGAGGTATATAATATCAACGCCAAACTCATGGAAAAATTGGGAGTTATTGAAAAACGGGGCGTGGACCCTCCCATACAAACTGAACTTCTCACATTAAAATGTGTATGGGGTGTGAGAAATTCAGTTTGTATGGGAGGTGCCACGCCCCGTTTTTCAATAACTCCCATTTATTCCATGAGTTTGAAGTTGATATTATATATCTCTACACTAAGTTGCAGCACTCTACAATGAATACTTCCAGAGATATGTTGCGTGAAAAGTTCAGTTTGTATGGGAGGTGCCACGCCCCGTTTTTCAATAACTCCCATTTATTCCATGAGTTTGAAGTTGATATTATATATCTCTACACTAAGTTGCAGCACTCTACAATGAATACTTCCAGAGATATGTTGCGTGAAAAGTTCAGTTTGTATGGGAGGGTCCACGCCCCGTTTTTCAATAACTCCCAATTTTTCCATGAGTTTGGCGTTGATATTATATCCCTCTATACTAAGTTGCAGCACTCTACAATGAATACTTCCAGAGATATGTTGCGTGAAAAGTTCAGTTTGTATGGGAGGTGCCACGCCTCCTTGATATATCGAAATTATTTTTCTTCTATTATCATCCCTGGATAGTCTGGAGTCAATGTCCAAAATTTCAAAAATATAAGAACAGCTCTTCTCGAGTTTTTCGAATAGAAAAAAAAAAACGAAAAAGCGGCTTTCAAAATATCTATACTCTATACTAATTATATAAAGAGAAGTCCCTTTTTATTGTAACAGGTAATCTCGCGAACGGCTGGCCCGATTTTCATGAAATTTTGTATACAAATAGCTTTCGGTAACCACCATGTTTTAGGCTAAACAAATTTTTTTCGGGTAGGTGGACCAGGGACCAGTCTATTCGAAAAAATCTTATTATAGTCCGATGTGCTTAAAATTTAGTACGTAAGTAGCTTTTTAGCATATATTAGCATATATGACCCAGTTTTTCCGGAAAGTGGTCCAGGGACCGAGCTATTCGAAAAAATCGAATTTACAGTCCGATTTGCTTAAAATTCGGTACGTAGGTAGCTTTTTGCCTGGATAAGCTTATAGATTCCTGTTTTCCAATTTTCATGCAATTTCGAATATAAATAGCTTTAAGTAACGGCCATATCAAGGGGCGAATTCGTCACTAGGCAAGATTTTTTTGCGCCAATCAGAAACAACGGATACTGTCAAAATATAATTATAATATGTAATATATCTCAACTAATATATATTTAGAAAGCCGTTTGTTAGTTTTCGCAAGGCTCGAGAGCGGCTGAACCGATTTTTTTGAAACTGCCACCTGCCGCACGTGTCCCAAGGATGGTTTTAGGCTGAAAAAAATCTATATGTAAAGGGGGCGTGGCACTTCCCATACAAACCGAATTTCTCATGCTACATATCTCTGAAAGTGTGCATGGTAGAGTTTTGGAACTTGGTATGGAGATATACGAAATCAATCGCATACCCTTGGAGAAAAATTTTAGCTATTGTAAAAAGGGGTGTGACATCTCCCATACAAACCGAATTTTTCATACTGCTTATCTCTGGAAATTTTTTGGTAGAGTTCTAGAGTTTTGTATGGAGATGTACGAAATAAATCGCATACTCTTGGAGAAAAATTGGAACTATTGGAAAAGGGGGCGTGGCATCTTCCATACAAACCGAATTTTTCATACTGCCTATCTCTGGAAGTGTTCATGGTAGAGTTCTGGAACTTGGTATGGAGATATACGAAATCAATCGCATACTCATGAAGAAAGAGGGCAGCTGTTGGAAAGGGGGGCGTGGCACCTCCCATATAAATCGAATTTTTATACTGCATATCTCTGAAAGTATTCATGGTACAGTACTGGAACTTCGTATGGAGATATGTATATAGTTGAAATCAAGCCCATACTCATGGAGAAAATTTGGGCTATTTGAAAAGGGGTGTGAGGCCTACAAACGTACCGAAGTTATGAGGCCTACAAACGAATTTTGTTATTCTTCTGTAGGTGTGTTTGTGAGTGAAATCCTCCTAGATGGTTGTACGGATTTTAACGAAACTTTTTGTGTATTTGAGTGGGTCTCTGGATGGTTTAGTTTCACAATTTAATCCGACAGTTGGCGCTGTAGTTGAGTTATTACTAAAAATCTTATTTATGATCCGATTTGGCTAATGTTTTAAATATGTATGCAATACTATTGCAAAAACGTGCTGCCAAGTGGTGCTGAAGTCGAGCTATTACTAAAAATAGCCAAGTGAGAAAAGGGGCCGTGAAGGTCAGATTAAATCGACCTGTTGCACCATTGAGTATATCGAACGCTCCTGCGTTGCAATTGGCCCAATGGATGTGATTTTCCAATATTATTATGCGTTCAAACTTTTAAGGTATTTCGTCTGAAATAAGCATATGTATATTGCATTTCTGTAGAACACTGATTCGCACTCATTTTGAAATTGAAATCTACTATACTGTAAAGCTTCTAGGACATTCACTATAGAACCGGGTCATTGTTGCCGCCAGGGAGTGAAGAGGAAAAAATTTATTTCGCTTTGCGAATAACCGTGCTATGAAATGCCGCACAACTGGAGAATTTCAAGAACGGATATAACACTTTCCTTAGGTTATTTAAAGCGGCAAATGACCACCAAACCTTAATCTTAGCAGACAAATGTGCCAATGAAAATCGTAAACGTGAATTGTTGGTGAAAATGTTGGACCAAAAAGTTTCAATAAAATATATAAAAATTTTGGGCGGGACGAAGTTCGCCGGGTCTGCTAGTATATTAGTATAGATAACAAATGAAATGCATCTTTTAATTAAGTGTATCCTATGGAAAAATGTTTATGAATAATTTTTCAAATAATTGCAGAAATTTGAAATTAATTTCAAGTATTTTCCAAGAAAGTGGAAGCATTCAAACGTAAAAATTTTTTTCTTCCATTTTTCAACATAAATAAATAAAAAACTAGAGCTTTAAAATAAATTGCTATGGATAGATCGACGCGAAATTTAATTATCTTTTATTAAAAAAAAAGAAACTTCAAATCGGTTCATATTTGGGCTCTCAAAATACATTTGTCCACAGCAACCTTTTTTGCCCCACTGTGCGTCATTCGCTCGTGCCAAGAATATTTGGATCGTGATCCAAAATGAGAAATTGTAGCACTGACAAATTTAGTTCAATGAGAATACCGAACTAGTGAACGAGTCCATTGAGATGAACTAGTTATTTAGCTAATTTAGTTCAAGAACTATCCAAGTCTAATATACATACAATCCCACAAGTTCATCGCGCGATATTATTGTATGTACTACTGGAAAATGTTGTTAAATTATTAACTTGAGACAACCAAATCAATTATTAAATGTAACAAATATAGACGGCAAAAAATAAGTTTCAAAAATAAAACATACGCATACATACATATGTATATGTCAAAGCTTCTGAAAGCATACGAGTACGATTGCTATAAAATTACATTTTATTTTAGCCATCACCCGCGATTGGTAATGGACCTGCGGCAAATGCAAAAGAAAAAACCCAAACGAAATTATTGTATGCGATTAACGAAAATCCACCATGGTATTTGAGTATATTTCTGGCGCTGCAACATTATTTGACCATGATTGGCGCCATTGTTTCCATTCCGTTCATTTTAACGCCTGCTCTTTGCATGTCCGATGAAGATCCTGATCGTGGCGTTATCATATCGACGATGATATTTGTAACGGGAATCGTCACTCTGCTCCAGGCTACATGGGGTGTTCGGCTTCCGATAGTACAGGGTGGCACAATATCATTTTTGGTGCCCACGTTGGCTATCTTATCGTTGCCCCAATGGAAATGCCCCGCGGTGGCGGAAATCGAGGCTTTGGATGAAGATGAACGCAAGGAGTTGTGGCAAATGCGTATGCGAGAATTATCGGGAGCAATTGCAGTGTCAGCTTTAGTGCAGGTCGTGTTAGGCTACACTGGTTTGGTTGGAAAAATTTTACGCTTCGTAACGCCACTTACGATTGTGCCCACAGTATCGTTGGTCGGTCTGACGCTATTTGAACATGCTGCTGACACAGCATCAAAACACTGGGGTATCGCCGTTGGGTAGGCATAAATAATCAACTCCAATTAAAATTCAGCATTAAAAATTTTTGATTGCGATTTTTGTACAGAACGACGGCGATGCTAACTTTGTTCTCGCAAATAATGGCGAACGTTTCGGTGCCATTCCCAGTTTATCGAAAAGGTCAAGGTATAGAAATACGTAGTTTCCAGCTTTTCAGAATGTTTCCGGTGAGTGCTATACATAGTGTATACACATATCGTCGTTTAAAGTACAAAACCGCGAATCAAAGAATGCAAAACCGCGTATCTGATGTTGCGTAAATTCTTTTCTAGAGAGTAAAAACACTCATATTTCAAAATGGTTCTCTTTTTTTTATAAAGCAATCGCATTTCTGGCGAGTATATTTCAGGACGAATGGATAAGGATTGAGCCAAGAGCTTGTGTCAGCAAATCCAATTTTTGGCAGCAAATATCAGTTACGCGGCTTTTCAGAATGACGATACGCGGTTTTGTACTTTAAACGACGAGATGTATGTATGTATATTCACTATATACTTAGTTGGTCTCTGATGGTGGTGTTGTACTATATTTTATTTATCACGTTCTAGGTGCTGCTGACTATTGCCATAATGTGGGGTCTCTGCGGAATTTTAACAGTAACAAATGTTTTTGAAGAGGGACATCCCTCGCGGACCGATGTACGCCTTAAGGTGTTGACTAATGCCCAATGGTTCTACGTGCCATATCCTTTTCAGTTCGGGCTGCCGTCGATTACACTGTCTGGTGTTTTGGGCATGTTGGCGGGCGTTTTGGCCTGCACAGTCGAGTCATTGAGTTACTATCCGACCGTTTCCCAAATGGCAGGTATGCATTTTTTCAGCAATAAAAAATACATGCATTCATACTACTGTATGCAAATGTATGTATTCTCGTGACGTGTTTGTGCACATTTTTACAGGCGCACAGTCTCCTCCACTTCACGCCATTAATCGCGGCATTGGTACTGAAGGTCTTGGAACGGTATTAGCTGGAATTTGGGGTGCTGGAAATGGCACTAATACCTTTGGTGAAAATGTGGGAGCCATTGGAGTAACGAAGGTATGCGATGCTTTTATGAATTGGTATATAACATATGGAAATGATCCATTAACATACAGCTATTGTCAAGTGAATGGCACACTTGTACACCAAAGCCAAGGTCGTTAAAAAATTGGGTTGAAGATACCTTGGATTTACAATATATTTTTCTAACATTTGCCCTTGCTTATTACTTTATTCAACGAATATAAAAAGAGTAAAATATAATTACCTAATACATATTCGTAAACCGGCTAAAATAATTTGGTGTGTTTTCCTCCCAAATAATACAATAAAACACAGAGCTGAATCGCACAAGTTGTCTGTACTTTTGATGGTTCCCACTTATCTTTATTTATTTTAAAGCGCTGAGTCTAAATCCACAGTCGGTTTCGGCCTTAAATTTTTCGAGTAATTTTCAAACATAGCGTAAAAAAGTGTAAAATTGCACTTTTGCAATCTGTATACATAAATTATAGCCGTTTTCGTTGTTCGGTCTTAACTCAAAAACTACTGGATGGATTTCTGTCAAATTTTCGGAGGTCATATCTTGCATATATGGTCCTATTATAGGCTACTAGAAAACTCTTTAGGTTGCGCTGGAGTCGAGTTTTTCAGAAAATGCGTATTTATTTACAATCTGGTAGGAGTTTATAATGCTTTTGCAAAAAAGTTACCCAACGGATGACGATACAGTGGAAATATTTAAAAACTCCGTATGTCTGGTCTGATTTGGCCCTATGTTTAGGTTATACGAATTTACTTTTCAGATGGATAAATGAATGAAAGTGTTAAGTGTGCATACAAATACGAAAAATATGTGAGCACTTTGCGATATTGCATCTACCTCCGCTTAATGAAATTGCTCGGGGCGGCCGTTATTGCAGCAGTTAGACTCAATATACTCAGATATTCCAGGCACATTATCACGTCACGGTTGTATCAAGAATAAGTGTTTGCCATTTATATGGAAGGCAGCACGAGATCTCGATCAAAGACCCAGAGATTGTTCTCTATTTTTCTTCTCTGGTAGTCAGGCAGCCCTCAAGCTTTACACTCACACATAGACAATGCAAATTCCCTTACTAAATGCCGTACATCTGTGATCAAGATTGCCCAGGTTTATAGAATCTAATAAATACACTTAGGTCTCTTTTTTTTATGCGGGCTTTTTTGCGGATTTGAATTTATGCGGTATTTTAAACGATTTTTTCGCTGTAGCAATTTTGCTTTTTTGAGAGTTTTTTACTATTTTCAGTTGTGGCATTTTTATACCTTTCATGAGCATGAAATGGTATTATAACTTTGGTCCGATGTTTGTAAGTACCAGAACAAAAAGAGATAGACCCATTAAAATTTATACTTATATGATCAGAACGTCGAGCTGAGTTGATTTATCCATGTCCGTCTGTCCGTCTGTCTGTCTGTTTGTATGCAGTCTAGTCTCTCAGTTTTCGAGATATCCGGATCAAATTTGGTAGGTGGGTGTATTTTTATAATGTATTAATCATTTGTCGGAACCGGAAGAATCGGACCACTATAACATATAGCTCCCATACAACTGATTGTTCAGATATGAGATTTTTCGTTATAATTCATCCATTTATGTAGCTAGGACCATGAAATTTCGCGCTGTTTTCACTCATTATCAACAGAAGACTTACAGTGAAAATAACAAAGATCGGGTCACTATAACCTGCAGCCCCCATACAACTGATTGTTCAGATATGAGGTCTTTTATCATAACTCCTCCATTTATGCAGCTAGGAACATGAAATTTCGCACCATTTTCACTCATTATTAACAGAATACTTACAGTGAAAATAACAAGGATCGGATGACTACAACATATATCTTCCATACATCTGATTGTTCAGATATGGGATTTTACTGTAAAACTCCTTTATTTGAACAGCTAAAACCGATAAATTTCGTAAGATATTTTATAAATAATAATACAAAGTCTACTGAGAAAATCGTCAAAATCTATGCTGTATAACCTTTATCTCCTATAGCACTGATTGTTAAGATACCAGTTTTTGCCATATATCTCCTTTATGTACGAAACTAAACCCAATAAATTGTGTTACCGGTTTACATACCAATCACATAGCGGTGAAAATCACTTATATTGGTGTCATATAAAGTATATCTTCCATACCTCTGATTGTTTAGATGCGATTTTTTATATAAGTATGTAACTCCTCTATCGATGTATGCAGATGTATTCAAAAGCAGTAATCTGTCAAAGTAAAATTTGCAGATGTTCATGAAAGGTATGCTCTTACTTGTTTTTTTTTGTTTTTGATTAAAATACAAATACAATTTTTTTTTATTTCGTTAATGTTCAGTTTTACATGGAATAATAAGTGTTGAAGTGAAGAAATAAATTGTGTTTTTTTATTAATATTGCCTCACTAGATTATTTTATGCGGTTTTTTAGAATTGTTTACATGAAGTATCTGAATTTAAGCGGTTTTTGAAAATACTGAAACGAATCCCCTGTTTTTGTATGAAAGTAAAAAACTTTTTTATGCGGTTTTTTTTATGCGGCTTTCTGAGGAACGCATGTACCGCAAAAAAAAGGCCTAAGTGTACACATACATACGTCCTTGGCCGCCTGGATATTGAGACGAATTGTAAAAGTGGTGAATTAGTAAGGAAAGGGTCGACTACATCTTTCGAAGAAAGAATGCGGCAGTTATATCAATGGCTTCATGTAAACTATATTCAAGAGATCACACGACTCATTCAGCCAATGTATGGCACAACTTTTCGTCCTGTGAAACAGCGGGGATTCTTGGCCCTCCTATAACAGAAAACGCACATCTGTGCTCATCAGTTTCCTTATAAAGGGCTTTTATTGACCTACATTACATAATACTAGAGATTAACGCAACGGAACAATGTTGTGGTTGCAAGATCATAGAAGAAGATTACGTAGACCTCAAAGGCGGGAATAAGACCATCGGTAAAGCTCATGACAACGAAAGGGATTACATTGCAATGGCGAACGCAAAAGTTCTTATCAGGTGTCGCGAAGCAAGCGGGCATGGGTAGTTTACTCTAAATCTTGATGGTGTTAGGCCAAAATCGACTGCGGATTTGGTTTCAGTGCGTCAAATTCTTAAAGATAAGGGTCTCATCAAAATTTTTTTTGTGTGCCTAACTAATTACACTTAAGTATCTTAGGACTGTTTTCTAGACTGTATTAATTTCAATTAAATTAATTAATTAAACCTATAAGGAAAATAATGCTATAAAGTGTGGCAAGGATGCATATGTAAATTCTCGTCGAAGCTGAGTGGAGAGTATTATTGCTCAGTTTCATAACCAATAAAGAATGAGTTTGCAATGTAAATTAGTTTAATAGAAGCTCTGAATAATTTTTTAAGATAATTCCTTACTTCATTCGACTAACATTGTTAGTGAGAAATATTTATTTATATAACAGCCGTTTATTTTGAAAGTTATTTGGTCAATTTCGTCGTCATTAGTTAATGACGGTGGAACAAGTAACCAACCATTTAATTACAAAAGGTGGAAATGACTTATAGCACTTTCGAAATAAACGGCTCATATATTACTTGCTTCAATAAACACCTCGTACAATTTTCATCTTGTTATTTTTACGAGACAATATACTTTTTTATTAGAGGCGGCTCTGCTCTGTAAATGGCCTTACCCCAAATTCACAAAATGAAACTACCCAGAAGTAAAACAAAATCACGTTGGTTTGTACCGCACTCTTTTAAAAAACATCTTCATACTTCCTAAAAATTATTCGAAGCGCTATCTACGTATGTATGTATTTGCATTAGAAATAACTCGAGGGTTCAAACCAGTTGGATGCTTGTAGGGCTTATAGCATGGTCGGTTACTCGTCCTTTTAGGTGTCTAGTTAATTAAACCTTATTGCACAAGTGGACTTGATGCCTCCAAATATCATCATCATATTCAAGCTTGCTTTATAGTTTTGTTATCGGGCATCAGATTTGATTGTGTTTATTTTTATTTCATCAATCTATAGTGCATTTTCTCAAAAACATTAGTCATTGTCTTTATAGGGAAATGCGACTGATGACCGAAAGGTGTTTTTTTTCCAGCATAGCATTTGACCGATTTCAAGCTCGGAACACTTTGACGACAGCAAGCGACAAGCAGCATCTGTCAAATTTTAAATGCATACGTTCTTACGGACACAATTATTTTGACGACAGCAAGACATCTTGGCTGCAGGACTGCAATTGTCGACGTCGCCAAATTAAATCTATTTCTAATTTTGCCGGCGACAATGAGTAGATGTAGTGCTGCAAAATTAAATTGTCGCAAAATTAATCACATATTCTTGATTGTTCATGTTTTTCTTATTTACTTAAATAAAAATACACAATTCGTGAAATAAATATACCAAAATGTCAAACTTTAAAATCAGCTCTTTGCTATGTCGCTGAGGTCTTCAAAATGTTTAAGAAGCTGGCTTCAAGGCGACATTTGTCGACATCAAAAGTCAAAGTGTTCCGAGCTTTAGGAATAAATTAATAAGTGGGTCAGTTTCATTATTTACATACATTTAAGGATAAAATGGTGAAATTTTAACTTAGTTCCATGCCTCTAAGTTGGACTTTTATGAAGGAAAATTACCTATGTGGTCTACCGCAAAAGCAAGCTAGGATTGGTTTACGGCAGAAAAACTTTAGTTTTCGTTTGATCAGCGCAGAGTTTCGACCTTAATGTTTTTATTTGTCCATGTTATTGCGGCTTATTAACATTTTATTTTAATATTGTTATTGAGGTTCGTACCGCAAGTATGTTTATTAGGAAAAATAAAAAAAAGCAACAAAGTCTAAGCGCTAGAAGTTATGGCTGCTATGTCAGAGATCACCACATCTAATCTTCTTTTTCTAGACTTCAGCAGGGATCGAACCCGCATCACCGATGTGCAAAGTGTTAACCACTGAGCCATGCACACCCCTTAAACTCTTGTTGTTTATTCGTTTCCTTATCTTTTTAATTGTCGTTAATATTGAAGTTATGAAAGCAAAATATTTTAAAATTTCCTGTGCCGTTCGTTGTCCGGGAAGCGTGGTACCCAATATAAAGGAGTAAATAAAACTGTTGAAAATAATAGAAAATATTGAAAAGGTACTCTTCAATATAAGTTATGATTTGAAATCTTACCCTATTAATGACGTCGAAACTGGATTTCGGAAAATGTGCTATTTGTGTCATCCAGGCATTTTATAAGGATAGTCAGTTATTCAGTTAAATATATATATTGGTTGAATAAAGTAATACGCAAGGAAAAATGTTTTACCGATTTTCCAACGGCCTTGCTACAAGTATCCTTTTTGCGTAACCATGCCTGTATGCAAGTAAATATATTTTTTTTCAGGTCGGCTCGCGTCGTGTTATTCAATGGGCTGCATTGATAATGTTACTACAAGGTGTCATTGGTAAATTTGGCGCCGTGTTTATAATGATACCAGACTCGGTGGTTGGAGGCATTTTTTGTGTGATGTTTGGCATGATTATAGCCTTTGGACTTTCCACATTGCAGTATGTGGACTTGCGTTCGGCGCGAAACCTCTATATACTTGGTTTATCTATTTTCTTTCCTATGGTCTTATGTAAATGGATGCAAGAACACCCGGGGTCTATTAATACAGGCAATGAAACAATCGATTCGACACTGTCGGTTTTGTTGGGCACTACAATTCTGGTGGGTGGCTTGTTGGGTTGCTTCTTGGATAATATCATACCAGGTAAGTACACGCACCTTCAAAATGATCATTCAAGCTGTAACGCTTTGACTATTGTAATGTTTTTGATATGTCATTTACTGTTTTCGCCAGGCACTGACGAAGAGCGCGGTCTTGTTGAGTGGGCTAATGAAATGCCACTCGGGGATGCCAATATCAATGATGGTACCGCCACGGATTACGATTTCCCATGGGGCATGGACACTTTAAGAAAGTTAGTGCACTCTCTTACTACATACATATGCACATAAATGCATAAACAAATACATATGTATTTAAGTAGATAGTAGGCTATTTTAACCATACTTTTTTTGTTTGTTTCAGATGGAAATGGACCTATTATATACCATTCTTACCAACATACAAGCTACAAAAAAGAAGTTAAATGCAAATATGAAAATTATGTATCTCATCTCTTAATTTAGTAATTTAAAAAAACGTTGTTTGTACTTATGTATGTATGCATAATATGCATTGCATATATGTAAACACAAATACTTATGCATGCATGCATCTATTTATCTATGCATTTTATATATGTAAACTAAAAATGAGATTCGTTTTGTTTTAAAACTTTCCTTATGAATAGTACACATCTAAAATATGTATTCGCATTTACTTCAATTGTCCCTGTGGGGAAAATCTCTAGTTTTGAACAGGTGCGCTTCTAGTACATTTAGAACCACTACTAGTTCGCGATAAATCTCTTTTGCATGCAAACAACTGGCGAATTTAACACAGCGATGTCATATGAATTGGAAATTGTCACCCGCTGCATTACCTCTTCTTTAGTTCAGAACCACTCCTAAATTCGACATATGGGATCTAGTTCGCTTTGCACCCCATTTTCTGTAGTATATAGTATAGTAAACGAAAAAAGTAACAAGATGTTTTCTTATTGAGTTACCATGGTAGCAATTTTTAATTATTTGCAGAGAAATGTATTTTCAATCTGAAATCAAATTTGTTTGAATGAGGTAAATTAAATTGTGCATTTGAAAAAACGTTTACATACCTTTGGCTGTAGCTGAATTTGCAGAGGGGCTGACTGTTATTGGTTATATTCCCAAAATTGTAAGATGTTAACACAAATATTAGTTTTGTATTACCAAACCATGAAAAAGCATCTGCGACGTGCAGACTGGAAGCGTATTAGAACGAAAAACCCGCCAACCAAAAGTCTATTCAAAGTAAACAAGCCCCCCGCTGCATCCCTTTTTCAGTAGGTTCGAACAAGTTCAAAATTCGCCAGAGGAGCATCCCTTTTTCTATAGTTTTGAACCAGTCCTAAATTAGTCATTTTAGATATAGATTTTTAAAAGTACCACATATCGGTGCTTTTGAACTGGTGGCGATCCAGTTACTATCGGACTGGTTCGTTTTTGGCGATAAAGATCTAGTACGGAACTACAAATTAGGTTCACCAGTTCGGGGTTTCCCTACAGGGATGTCACATCTAGATAAATATAAACATTGAGCTAAATATTCAAGAATTACCGTTACCTTTTCTTCTATTTTGGGTCTATTTCAAAGCTCTATGGATTACCAACATTTCGCTAGAACAAAATATGTATTCATTTTTACTATGGGGGTACATATATGAAAATTCAAAACTTTAAAGCCGTTTTTCTCGAGTGTTGCTTTTTTGAGTTGTGACACTCCCAGCAAAAAACACGATTACCACAGAAATTAAAATGGGATCAGGCGATGGGAATCGCTTACCCTTTCGCTTCAAGGAGGCATTATTTTAACATGGGCATGTCATTGGCCGTAATCCCCTACCCGCAGCATTACCTTCGAACGATGGAAGAACGCATGGATAAACAGAATCCAGGGAAGCGAACAAAGCATGCATTATATAATTAATCTTAAAATGGTACTTCCTCACCCATGTAATTCATTTCATTGCCTGACTTGAACTTCGCTGTAAATTAAACAAAGCAAACCATGATTTTTATGCGATGGAATTTCACACAAAAAGTAACGGTGGAAAATAATTTTTGGGTGTTCATTATATTTTTCCGCTGACACCGGTGAAGCTTTCTACTTTGTATTCCCCGTAATGAATCAAAGCAATGAAATGAATAATATGAATTAAAATATTGTAGAACATTCTGCTATGCATTACCGGCAATGCCTAGAAGAAGACCAAAAATTAGAAGACATTTAGGGGATTTACAAGTAGTGTTAGGCGTCGTAATTTCTTAGTCTTAAAATTGTTCAATATAGAGTAACGCTTAAAAGCATTTTGAAAGATTCGTTGGGTATAATAAGAGCCAATAAAATATTTCTTACTAGTTTAAAAACATTTTGGTTTAATTAAAAAACGCTTAAAAAAGTATTAGCCGTTATTTTACTTTAAAAAATTTTAAGACTAACACATTACGACGCTTAACACATCTTGTGAATCCCCCAGTTATAAGGCAATGCGTTTTAGAACACGTTACCACTAAAAGCGATTACCGATTTTTTGCTGGGCTATTGAAGTAAATGAGCGATATGTATGTATGTCCATATATGTATGTGTTTACTGTGTTTTATGAATATTTATGTAAATATGTATAATAAGTGCCCTGGAATATACTACATAAATATTATATAGTTGTACTTCGTCGTATAAAAATGTAAACGGGCGGGGAAGAAAATTGTTATGGTTAAAAATTCTGTATAGCGAAATTCTGTATTACAAAATTCTTTATTTTAGTATTCCGTATTATAAAATTCTGCACCCAGAAAAGGCAGCTAAAAATATTTCTCTCAACACATGATTTGTTAACTATAAAATAAAATAAAAAAAATATATAAATCTGTTGTATATATGTGTGCACATGGATACAAATACCAAACGTAATGAAATACAACCCTAACGTAAGAATATAAGAGAATATGTAACTAGCTATAGGATTGAAGTATGACAAAGTATGAATAAAGAGTTATGGTCTGATTATGCACACTTCGCATAAACTTCAAACTGTAATTTCGTATGTACTTTGTATGTATTCCATTACCCAGAAATTAGCAGAACTTTTAAAAACTTAGCGATCTGTTGAGTTTAAATTTTGCTTCACATTTTCTTAAGTCACACTTTTAGTGCACTGGTACAAATGGTTGTGCGAAGAAATGCGAAGTATGCATAATCAGACCCTTAGTCTCATAACAGCATTCGGGACCGTTGGTTACATTAAGTGGCGACGAGGACCACCGATCGACCAAAAAACGCATGTAAATTGGTTACGCTGCAGATGCATATAGAGGCTGTGCAAAATACGGCAGCGAGCAACAGGCAGTGGACAACGCCAATGCGAGGGTCAACTTATTTAATTTCGAGGCTTTCGACGCTAAAAATTACATTTTCGTGATGGGTAAAGCGGTTAGAAACCGCAATGGCAATTCACGGAATTAGTAAGGCAGGAGGGGCTCGGCGTAATCTCCTTTTGTATTACATAGGATCAAATACATATAACATCCTCTTCGACAAACTGCTACCGCAAACTCCAGGAGAAAAAGAATATGCTGATTTGATGGGAGTGTTGGGAAACCATTTTGATCCCGAACCCAATGAGATATTGGAAAATTATCGGTTCAATTCCAGGAAACAACAAGGCGGTGAGTCTTGTACAGAATTCATTACGGTACTGCGGCGATTGGCTGTGGGGTGCAATTTTGGGCCATATTTGGACACTGCGCTGAGGAATCAATTTGTTTTCGGACTAACAAATCAACGCATCTAGAGTCGGCTGTTAGAAGAAAAAACCTTCACTCTAGAGCAGGCTATTAATATAGCAATGGCGGTCGAAAGGCAGAAAAGGGAGGTGCAGAACTTCAGATTAAAGAATGTGCAAAGGAAGGCATGAATAAAATGCTTGAAAAGAAGAGTAAACACAAAAATAAAGTAAATGGCAACACAGGTAAATCATCCAGGGAGGGTAAAGAAGACAAACAGAAGTGTTTTCGCTGTGGCAACGCTACGCACACAGCGAAAGAGTGCATGTACAAAGATGCTAAATATCATTTCTGCAAGAAAAAGGGCCATTTACGAAAAATGTGTGTGTAATTTAAGTAAGTATAAACGTAAATGACTTTCTTTCGGGACACTGCAAGCTTAAAGGTCACCAACACAAATAGGGCATTTGGTCAAGCGATCTCTGCATGTTGTGTGATTCATCCTAAAGACACCATTACACTTTCTAGTCGAATGACATGTCATTTCCAAGAGACGAGAGAGCAGCACGGGTCTGATGTGGCCCTCAGCAAGAGTACATCAACTCATTATCCATAAGCGCTTTTGAGCTTATCGAAGGTCTTGGGTCTAGCAGAAGTGGTGTGAAGAGAAGAGGGCACAATATTTTCTGTCAAACTTTCTTCATCTCCAGAACCATTGCTGCTTTCGATGTTCATTGAAGATACGCTTTCCACTTCCTCTTTTGGTCCCTTAAAAATGCCAGCTCATTGAAGTACCACAATGTAGGAATATAAATATCGTCGGCACCGGAGCCGGATTTTTGGCTGTTTTTAATTTTTTTAATTCTCTACGTTAGCATTTGGATCGACTTCTTTATACTTTGTTAAAAGAAGGGCATACGCCTTATTTTTAGCGACTTTATTTTTATATATTTCACTTTTTAATTTCGATACTTCAGGAAGGTTTAGATAAAGTGCAAGGAAACCCTTCCAAACGTATTGTTAATAATTGATACCATTATTTTACCGCCTTAGTTTTACTGAAAGTAAAATTAATACATTATTATTATTTTGATACTTATATTTTCTTACTATGGCTACTGATGGTTACCAGGTATGATGAACTTGTGTTCACACGAGTTTTATGGTGTGTCAAAATAGTGAAGAAATCCAAAAATTTTGTAAACCATCCACATTAGCGTTTACACGATCGAACATCGATACCCAGTGTTGCCAACTTTTGATTTTCAAAAAGCACCAAAAACTTGTAAAAAAACGTTTTATCACACTAAAAGCACCAAATTTTTTTGAATCAAAAGATGCTTTTTTCATAACAGTTTGTATTTAACAAAAACAAAAAATTAAGACTATTTACAAGAATACATACATAAATCAATACACAAAATTTTTCGCTCATAACGATTGAATAGCCTCTACACATGCTATGATGACTCATACGTACGACGTAATATAGAAGTACTGCGCATTAAAACTGGTATATCGCGAGAAAGAAAAATCGAATCGCAACAAATGACGATGATGCCATAAGTAGAAATGAGCAAAAAATTTTTATTATATAACCTCAAATATCGCCAAAAACCGTGTTTTTGGCACTTTGAGGTTATGATATCTCAAAATTCTAGTGCTAAGCAATTGTGCGGCCAGATTTGGATTCAGCACCAAGAAACGATGTTTTTTATTCAGGTGGTAAAAACATTTGTACAAATAATTAGAAAAGAAAAAGAGAAATACTTAACTTACGCGAATAGAACTCAAAAAGATGGGTTTATAACTTCAGCTTTTTATCAATCATGGTTATATTTTAGTGCATTTAAATTTGTAGATTCTTGTAAATTCAGTGCTGCCACAGCTTTAAATATTTCAGGTTTTACCTATCTCGGAGGAATTTTAGTTCAGAAAAAA